CAGGTGCCGTCAGCAGAGCGTCAAGACTTCAGATTCACAGCTTTGGAGGCGTCAAGACTTCAGGGTTCGGGGCGGGGCCCTGAAGGCAAAAACCTCCAAACCCTGTGCTTGAGGGCTTCGGAGATTCGGACACTTGGTTCTCGAACTGCGTGCTTCAGGGTGACGGACCACAACCTCTGAGAGTCTTGGGTTTTCAGATACAGAAGTTGTCAAACCTAGCATACTCGAAGGTAGGCGGAGTGTGGGTGACCCAAAAGGACCCCTTCGCCTGGGCCTGCCCTCACTTTTGATTTTTCAAGCTACCCTGCAGCTGAACGGCCTCATTGCAAGAGCGAAACAATTGGCTACTTCCTCAACATCCAAGCCCCAAACCAGCTCCTTCCAAGCTGAAAGGCAAAACAGCCAAGGAGAGCCCGAGCCCGAAACGGCAAGCTGTGACCCTGTCAGCCCAAAGTCACCACAGGCCAAAAACCCAAACCCTACAACCTGGCCCTCAACCATGAAACCTTAAAGCCCCCGACGAAAGAGCCTCAAGCCCTGAGATGTAGCCCTGAACTGTGCTACCATGCCTAGGAAGCTTAGAGCCTTGTTCCTCAGAATCACAGAACCCTTACAAAGAGCCCCAGTAGCCCTTACTCGAAAACACCTAAATTCAGAACCCTCAAGCCATAAGAACCTGAAGCCCTAAAGGCTTTCAAGGCCCCAAACCCGAGCCCCTCGCCTCGGGTCCGACGAGGCTTCTTCGGCAGATCGGCGGTGCTTTGAGCCCCATCTTCGGAGGGGCCTAGGCCTGGTCAGTGAGGATACTTTTAGACTTGCTATAAGGCTACACTACTAAGGTTCATAACAGGAATTTTACCGTCAGCTTTCCATAAGAAGGCTACCATCAGGTTACCGCCCGCTTTATTGGAAGGCTACGTGGCCTCCCGAAGCTGAAGCCTTGGCTGCCACAGTAAACTGGGCAAGACAGATACAGTGAAGCCAATCAGCCAATCAAATTGGGTATCTGTGAAGTGCCGGGGGTCTATATATATATATATATATATCGAATCCTGAGTCCAGGCTTGGTTCCCTTGTTTGAAAACAAGGTTGAGCACGGGTTAAGGATGATTAGCGCTCGGAGTCCATATACTTCATCGTATAGGGGCGTTAGGATATCGATGCTATAACTTCTTGGCTTCGATTCTAGCGAAGAATCACTGTTTGAGGGCTTTTCATGGTCGTATGCGGGCGGTTCTGAAAACTGGATGCTGCTTACTGCGGATCATGGTTATCAGCCTTCTACTTTATCTAGGGTCCATGCTGCATGTTTGATGCTGATCGTATGACGACTACTCCCGCCACTAATCGCGTTCACTTCCCACTCTTCTCTAAAGCAGCAGCATTGCTACCAGTGTTAGCGCATCATGCCGCATCATGCCATGTATCGTTTCAACATTCGTAAGCTAATCGAATACCCTGCTCAAGCTATAGCAAGCACACTTCATTATACTGGAGGTAGGGACCGTCGAAGATGAAGAGCATCTTTCATGGAATAGCTTTGATGGTGTTGTACGTAACTACCCTGATCTGAAGCACCGCAATCATTATCATCCGCAGCCCAGAAAGCAAACCTGAGAACAAAAGTGCTGACCGGGCTTGCAGCGACTTTCGGAGGGCCGTTTCCTCCGCCAGACTCACGTAGAGCTTAAGGGCCGAGCCTTTCTTTACAGCCATGGCAGCTTTTGCAGATGTAATTCGGGTAATTGCAGCTTAGCCTAGCTGAAAAAGGCAGCCCTTCCCTCGTTGGGCTATATGGGAGTTTCCGAAAATTAGGGGTACCTTATTTTGGGGTCCTTTCCTACTATTTAGGTTACTATATTTGGGTCCCCTATTTTCGGAAACTCCCATATGAATGTGTACACACGTACTTGTTTTTTGGTTATCCTTTGTGGGTGTGCAGAATAGACCATGGTTGAAGTTTAGCTTTGTTGGGAACCCGGTTACTAGGTCTTCCAGATTTGCTCACTGCACACGGAGTAATAGCCATCTTTCCCTTCTGCAAGGCCTCAACAACATCATCATCCTCTCCCCGCCAGAACCCTTACCTTGTGTTGCAGGATGCTCGTATATGGGGTTTCTTGGACGGGTTAAAAGGCCTGCAGATTGAGCATTAATCCGATTTTCTCTCGCGAATTTGGTTTACTGTGTTCGGGCATATGCGAGGGTGTTCACCGAGTGCTGCGTTGCTCGCTCGTTTCGAAGAGTAGTGTAGTTGGATTGCTTCTTGAGTAGATAAGAAGGTTGCTTATGATTAGGGATCCCAGGGGTCCTTGTTACATTGTTGGAGTCTAAATTAGGACTCCTGTTTTTGCACCTCCCCGACCACGCTTTTCGAGGTTTTTTGCACAGATCCCTGATCGCGGGGCCTTAGCTCTACGCCTCAAAGCCTAACATAAGGGCTTCAATAATTACCTACGGTATTTTGGGGGTTCCCGATTCTAACTACAGCATAATGGGCCCAAAAACCCTTCTCTCAGTATTCAGGGCCCCGAAAGCATCTTCCAAGAAAGGGCGGCCCGGCGAAGCGTTGGTCTCTCCAGACCCTTGGCTCCTCATTGCAGCAGAGAAAAATAAAACAGAAGACAACGCCGCCAGATTGATCAGCGACATGCCTTTTGGATAGGATGGTGGTTCAAGATCCAGAGAACAAGTATGTCGTTTTCTGTTGCTGCTAGCGAAAAAAACGTGCTAGTGCCTCCTCGGATTGCGTAAGGCGTCAGGCCTTTGGATTGCAGCTTCCCTAGTTCCACACGCATGTTACAGAAAGGTGGTTGAAAGGTTTGATCTTCAGGTTCTGAAGCCCAATGCACTAGGCGAAGTTGCACCCCAGACTGCCAGCTCCGAAGAGTGGAAGAGCGCGACGGAGCGCCTTCTCAAGTAGTATCGAAACTAGAAATCTTACCATCATGGATCCCATCAGCAGGTTCCAGGTGTGTCCCGTTCGGGCTGCTGCGCGAGGTCACATGCATGCAGTGCAGTGTCTCGCCAAGATGCTCAAAGCGAGAATGAAGGCGGGACAACATAACACCAACAAAGAGCAGGACCGAACGTCAAGTAGCGGTTACCGGTTACTTGGCTATCCCGACCGTTACTTGCACCGCCACATCATACAGCCACGGTAAATCGATTAGCCATGAAGCTCTTTGACTCGTTAGGAACTGCGTTTTGACCCCTCATGTATGAGCAACGCCCCACTGAAATTTATACAGTAAATGAAAGACAGCAAAGCACAAACCTGATTACAATAGAGGTTAGTAAAGTATACTGTCATAGATTACCACATGACATGACATGACATGGAAGTTTGGGGGCTTAGGGGGTTAGCTAGGCCGGGGGCACCCCGCGAAACCCACCTCGAGCCTAAATCGCAAGCCCGAAAACTAGAGCCGAATTCGTTTCCGGAACCCAAAGCCTAAACCCAACCTAATATGAAACGCTGGATGCAAGCTCCGTTGGTGCTTTAGAGTCACAAACGCGTAGCCCCAGTTGTGAAGCACTCGGAGAATGGTTTGTGATTGGAACGTATGACAAAGCTACAACGCTGCCAGAAGACGGTGCCCTAACCCCCTGCATGCGATGTCATGCTGCGAGTGCTTCAACGGCCTGTTCGAGCAACTTTGCTTGAAAAAGGGTTTCCAAGGCTTCGGGTGAAGCTTTCGGACTGTGGGGCTTCAGGATTTTCGGGTGTCAGGGCAGCTGTGAGGAGCCCCGCAAGTTGGTTGAGGAGCTTTGGATACCCTAAACTCAGTAAGCCCAACTTGTTGGTGCACCGAGCTTGGACAGCTGCACGCATGGCGTCCGGGCATGGTGCGCGACTGTGTCCAACCCTCTTGAAGATTCCTGAGATGTGTGACGTTTAAAGTGGGGGCGAGAGACCATACATTGACTCCTTTGCTGCCAAGAACCAGCACATTTCTGAGCTGCCGTGTGACGAGGCAGTCTGCGACCGAGACAGACTCCGTCCCGGCCTGGGCCGTCATCATCCGACGCAGGGATGTGAAAGGCACGGCTCTTAAGGTTGGTTTAGTGGCTGAAGGGAATGTAGGGGCCAGGATTCAAAGTGTGTGGGGCTCAGGGGCGTAAGGGCTGAAGGTGCGGCTCGGGCTGCGGGTGTGGAGTTAATGTTTTAGAGATTGCGTATCCGGGATTAAGGTAGAGGGGTACTCAGGCCCTGCATGCGGTGCCTTGTCTTGCTCAGACAAACCTAGGCCAACAGTTTCACAAAGATGCAAGAGCTTGAAACGCAGGTGGGCAAGCCATTTCAGAATTTAGCGTTCGGGATGCTGCATGTCCTGTAAAGTTTCACTTCCAGGCGTTCACCCGGCTCCGGAACACTACAGTTTCCTAGCACCGTCCTTTCCGCACGCAGGTGCGGTACGGTGGTCCCAGAACGTGCAAGCTCCACCGCCGTTGCACCAGGACCGGGAGGGGGAATCTGCAGAAGTAGCAGGAAGACCAAGCAGAGCAAATTGTGGTTTAAATCTCAGTAAACCCCTGAGTACGTTTTTTGAATGCCATAAGAACTCCACGAGACACACCGAAGGCCGACGAAGAAAGAGACGAAGAGACGACCACAGGTCGCCCAAGCCACGTCTTTGCCAGGCCCTGGTTTCCGCAGCAGCCAATGCAAATCCGAGCCCGGGTGGCATTGAATTTAGGAGTTCAGAGCTGTTTTGGGGACTGTTGGCTAGCAGTTGTAGGCTCCAGGGATGTATAAGCGACCGTAAGGACCCGTTCTGTGGCAGCGGCAGAGGGTTGGGACGTTGCAGTCCGGAACTGGATGGGGAAGGTGCCACGACTGCTAGGACGTTTGCGCCGGAAGACGGCTATGGGCACATCTCTAAAAATCTTTGCGCTGTTTTAAAGCCACCTCCAAGGAACAAGTTCCCTCGGCTGCGGCTACGGCTTATGGCAAGAGCAGAAAAATTAGTAAGCAAGCAGACCATGCAGCCGAAGACATGCCCAAACCTGACTCCCGAATTGCTGCCATGAAGGATAGCGGGTTTGACGGCAAATCTTGGTTGTAAACATGCCACAAGCCTCCAAAAGGCCACAGCAACATAAGCAGTGCAAGCAAAGATGCTACCGTATGCATGCCTGATCTTTTGCATCCTGCATACTTCCAAAACCAGAAATGTAGCAGGAACCACGACGATAGACAGACCCATGAGCATGAATATTATGACAACGTGTAGTTGCAGTCAAAATGAAGTGTTTGCGAGCAGGGACAGGCGTGATCCTGGCAATCATACGAAGATAGCAGCAACAATCCGAATGACTAGAGCAAAGATGAAGGCAAACAAAAGCCACAAAAACCTCTCACCTTAAGCAGAGTATCAGTAAGACAATAAACACAAAAGCAAGCGAAGACCCCAAAAAACAAAGCTTAAGCCCGAAAGGCATATTCAGCAGAAACCATAAGTCCTAAGACTTGACGACAATACGACAACATACTCCTAAGCCCTAAACCCCAAAGAAGCCCCAAAAACAACACCAGAGCTCCAAGTCCCTGCGTGTCAGGCGGGGGACCCAAAACAAGACTAACACGAGGGTTTCTTCAGGATTGGTAGTTTCCATTCCTGCCGGTTCCTCCATGGGATTTGTCTGACCACCGTCTAGAAACCCAGAAACCCCAGTCAAAGTATTCAGGCATCTCACATGAGCGATTCCGCCGAGGAATCTACAGCACCGGGGATCTCTCGCGCTAAACGAAGCGGCACCTCGGAAGAGCTCAGTGGTTTCGGGTTTACGTGGGGTGCAGGGTTTCAGGGTGTAGGGCCCTAGGAGTTAGGACTGTGCTCGTGACAGCCCCCCTAGCATTGAGAATGCGATTGGCGTCCTTGCGTGCAAACCTGGCCTTAGGAGTAGGGGTACCTCGTAGTCGCAATAGGCCTGGATGCCAAAAGGAGTTGGGTTGTTCGGGTTTAGGTTTCAGAACTGTAGATCCTCGGGAATGCGGTAACTGTTCATGAGGAGGTTGGGATTCAGCGCAAGAGATGCTTCCAATGGTTCGTGGACTTGTTGTTCAGGGAAATGGCGCTTTCCCAATGTTGTCCGCCTCCAAGACTATCTGAACACGAAGCATGTCCGAGCCTGGGTCGGCTACTACAAGTCGGCGCACGACTCCACGAACTGTTCTCGTCATAGAGAGTTCTTCCCCCCGCGAACCCCCAGATTCCGGCAAAAGCGGGCTTGTGGAAATCCCCAACAGAAAACAACAGCAACAACTGAGACCCAAACGCAAAGCGATTCATGGTTCATGTCTTACGGTCCTGTCTGCAGCTTTTCTTGCCCCAAAGGGCACAGGCCAGCAGAAGCTTTTTTCCGATGTGTTTATTGCAGGTACCGGAGCCTCTTTGTAAATCTTGCGTACCCCTCTTTTTCGACAACCCCTGAACCCAAAGCCCATCTCGAAAGCACCGGCCCAAGGTGAAGCTCCAGTCGTTGGAGCTTGTCACCTCTCTTATCGAGGCCAGGCGCACGCGATTGCCTGTGTTATGTGTGCCGGAGCTTCTTTGGCCACGTTTGTTTCCCGCGCTAGTCTTACCGCAGCAATGGTCAGCCGCGGCGACGGAGGTATTAGCCGCGGTAAAAATAGAAAATGCGGAACATATAGTCACTATACTGCACGTATCATGTAACACACATGATATATCAAACTTAGCATATGGTTTATGACTTGTATCTGGTATCAGGCATACTTGTAGTGTGTGTGTGTGTACACATATATGCACAGCCGTTATAGAGCATGTGAAGTAGCATTCTTTATCTGCTCTTGGGGACATGGCCCCTAGCAGAGGCCGACGCCTCGCCGAATGAGGAGGATGCCTCAGGCGACCATGCCGGTGTAGGGGGTTTAGGGTTTAGGGGTTTAGGCTTGGTTTGGAGATATGGTCATACCTGGATCAACGTCCACCGGTCCAGCAAAACCAAGAAACCCAAAGCCACGATTTCTGAGTCCGAACTCCATCAACATCTAGACCTACACTCCTTCAACCCTAAACCGAGACCCTACAGTCTACTAAGCTTGAAATCTTCTGACATGTTACCACGCAAATCTACAATCTCGCCTAATGTTTGTGGCTTAAGCGCTCGACCTTCCGGGATGGGAAGGCCGGTGGGGTTGAATGTCCTAGTGGTTTTGGGTACAAGGCTTGGGTAGGGACTCGCTGGCTGACACTAAGAGCTCAGCTGCACGGGTGGTGTGTGGGGACCTGTGGGAACCTTGTCAAATCTGGGGAGGGGGACTTCGCGTAAAAGCCTTGGGCACCTTGAGCAGTGCGCGTTGGCGGCGAAATTTTGCAAAGCCAACGGCCTTTGGTTGCTCACGACATCACTCGGCTTTTCTTTTCAGGTGCGTAGAGGAGATTGGTGACTTTCAACAGGGCATGGACCACAACCCCTTTATGACAAGACCCCCACCTGAAAAATGAAATTCCTTCCCTCGTCAGACATCCAAATATCAAGGTCCTTGAGGAAAGATTTTTCTCCGCACCCTGGAAACCGGGTATACCAAACCTGACAGCCTCAGCCCACTAGCCAAAACCTTGAAGCAGGCGTGCCTGCTAAAAGTACAAAGTCTCTATGCCAGCACAATCTTTGGATGCAGTGTGAGGCGAAACCGCCTTGAACTTGGCCACGCAGATCGGCGATGGAAACCTCGTCAAAGCACTGAGGAGGTCGAGACGTGCTGATAGGGCTTGAGGAATGCCAGACACTCCTGATTGCTCCTGTTTCTAAAATCTCGGTTGCGTTGGGGTGGTCACATATGATGAAAATCAAGATCATCCTCCGCCAAAGAGTCATTCTACTGAGCTGCGCAGTCTCACATGCGAACATGCTCAACCTGGCGGATTTTGGACTCCTGGCCCCAAGAGTGCGATTTCTTGCTTCGCCTGCTGAAATCGACCTTCAATCTTGATGCGTTCCTGCACGCTTTCGCCCGCATCACCCCCAAAGCCCGATTCTAATCAATCCAGCCTTGGCCTTATGCCAAAGGCTTACAACCCTAAACCCCAAGCCCTAGACCAGCAGGGACAGCCACAAGAAGAAGACCCGGGAGTTTCAAAAAGGCTTGGTCACGTTGCAGAGATTTGGCTGAGAGTGGTGATTCGGGAAATATGTTTAGGGTTTCGGAGATCTAGCACATCAGAGAGATCCAGTTGAAAAGGGGTCTCGCATCTAGGATTCGGGATTGTTACTGTGTGCAGCTTACGCGGGGTTTTGGGATGTTAGGGTTTGCGTGGAAATGTTCTGTCGAGTGAATGGCGACTTTGGGCTCTGATGTGAGAATCTGCGGGAGGGGTTCTTGCGAAAAAACTTGACTTCCCATGATAGGAAAATGGAGCAAAGCAGTGGCTTCCTTCTATACTGGGCCCAGGGTTACCGCTTAGGCTGAGAGGGATGTAGCAGTTAGGGGGCGAGGGCGGCTTGGCTTTGAGCTGTCCCGATAGGCGAATTGTGCCCCCCGACTTCGGGTCATTGCCTGCGTGGTGTTCATTTCATGTCCGCGCAGTGGAAGCTTGTGTGAAACGAATGACCTGCCCTGTGCAGTCGTACCATGGGATGCCCAACACTCCTACTGGACGTCAGTCCTTGTTAGTTGTTCGGGTCTCGTGCGGGCTCACGCTCTTCGAAAGCAATGCACTAATTAGCATATCTAGCCCGACAAAGGTACCACACTGTTTTTTCGACTGCGGCGGCTTGGGTTCTGTATACTGTATACTTGTTGCGAGATGTTGATCCGCTCATCTTGAAGATGATTTGCCATATGTTCCATGCCGCTACTGCTACCAACTAAACCGTAAACCTACCTCCGATCTTGACACCTGAAGCGAATTCTGCTACCAACTAAACCGTAAACCTACCCCCGATCTTGACACCTGAAGCGAATTCGCGCCACACAACCAAAAAAGCTTCGCGGTGACAGTGCGTGTGTGCTGAAGCCTCGATCATTAGGAAAGGGTTTGAGGATTTGTTGCTGCAAAACCACACACGGAGTAGAAGGGTATCTGATTACTACTGCTGAGTGCTTGGCTGGCCAACCTAACACAAAATAAGATTAAAGAGGATTGCACACAACGAAACGACAACCCTAAGTTCCTAAAGCCCTCGAACAGCTGAGGAACATGCCTTTGTTTGCCAACCTCCATCCCTCGGAATTCCCGCGCTTGGTGGCGGCTTGCGCCACTTCGTTGGAAGTGAGTTTGCGGTCTAGGGCTGCTTCGTGCCAGGGCATAGGCGACGTTAGTGTTTTGGGCTACGAATACGGTGTTCGCTTCTTTCGTCCCTAGCTCCCAAGACTTGTGGCCAATTTTTTCCGGATTTCGAGGTTTGCGTGGATCGGGTCGAAAATCGGAGCCGAGATTCAGGTTTTGGGGCTTGCCGAGACCGTGCGGAGTCATCAGGCATAGGGAAGATCTCGACTTAAGGTGGATTCCCAGAGCCCAACACCTCTCAAACGGGGAGCATGCCAATACACCACCCTTGCTGGGATTGCCGGTTATCTGCTGGATCACCCTCCATCTGTGCCACGCTTCACACGGGGCACGACCCTCCAGTGATCCATGCCCTGTATCCCGAAGTGGAAAATGTGCAAAAACAAGAAGCCTTGCTTCAGATGGAAGCCGGCTTGGTAGCCTGAAGCCGCAGTCTCGGCTAGTCAAGTCGTCGCAGTGGTATCCTTGGCCTAGCTGCTGGCTGTTCCCGAGGAAAGCCGCACCTACAGTGAAGGCCAGCACGTGATCCCGCAGAATCAGGCCTGCATGTCCCTCGCGGGTACAGGAGAGGTTTTAGCGTTTTGTATGATAGGGGTGCTGGAGGGTTTTACAGCGTCTCATAAGGGTTGTCTAGAGCTTTGTAAGGGTCTTGCATAGCTGCGTTGAAACTATGCCTGGCGCAGGTGGGCACAAGACCCGAGTAGGTATGGCACGCAAAAACCTGCCGTAAAGCTAGGCAGGTCGATCACTATCCGCCCTGAACAACACCGAATCCGAAATGCCTAGGCCTTGAGCAGGCTCTGAGAAAGCAAGACCGAACCGGTATCGAAGAAACCTAAGCAGCAAAAATGGAGAGTCCCTAAACCTCGAACCATCAACCCTAACCAGACTGAAACCCCGGCCTACACCCCGCTAGGAGCCAAGCACGGCAGAGCACCTACAACCCAAACCTGGCACGTCACCCTCTCAAACTTCACATGCCCAGCCAAGTTCGCGATCACCCCTTACTGCCGCATTCGTTGTCTTCAGTATGCCAAGTCATGATGGCTGCTCCGGCTATGTGAGTACGACTGATACGATGTTCCTTTACTTGCTGCGCTTATGACTACACTTGTCATTGTCCTAAAGTCCTAAAGCCTAACTATCCTTAATGAGCCCTGTGTTCGGCCTAGCAACGCAGGACCAGTAAACGCCTTCTGTTATTGCAAATCCTACATAAACCATCATGGGAAACATGTTAAACCGCAAAGCCAGAACAAGAAGATTACAACATCTCCGTCACTGCAGAGGCGCCTCAAGAGCTCTTCTTCGTGCTGAAAGGCGTGGGTTGATACGGTTTCAGGTTTAGGCTTGGGTAGGGTGCAGGGTTTAGGGTTAGATGTTTCGAAGTTTAGGGCGCTATGTTTGCGACTGAATCCTTTGCATCCCAAAACCCTTGAAACAGCAGTGTCGACTTAAAGGAGACCCGAACCCCAAAGCCAAAAGCCCAGACGTAAGAGGTCGAGCACAGCTGATGGAGGCCGCCGACGCCCCCGAGCCCGGCAAGGCAGGTCCCATGGCTTCACGCTTAGGACTGAAGGCTTGGAATCCCAAACTAAGGGTTAGTTTAGGGCATCAAGGGTCTAAGGTGGGTTGGACAGCTCTGGAGAGTTGGGGTGGGGTTTTAGGGCTTCAGGATGAGGATTGGAGGGCTCAAGGTTGAAGGCATGAGTTGTGGTTTGCTTTCGTTGGACGCTTTTTGGTTGCTTGCACTGACAGACTCTTGCAATTTAAGCACCCGCGGCGGCCGATTAAAGGTTCTTCCTCGGTGAATGCTGCACTTCAAGCTCGACAGCTCTGTAGCCCTCGGAGCCCTGAAGCTATGCCTGGTTCAGTGGGCGCAGGTGACCATCCTCCCAGAGGGCGCCTACTTCGGGGAGAATGCCCTCCTAGGTGGGGTCCAAGACAGCACTTCTTCTTCTTTTTAAGGCAAAGTGATTAGTGAAAGGACATGAGCTCCTAGGTGCAAGGTCCAGGGTTCCGGAGCTTTGGCTTGTGCAATCTTGTGGTCCGCAGTCTGACCCAAATCTTAGCTCAGCCCGTCTAGAGCTTAGTCAGTCACAGTGGAATCAGAAAAGCTTGGTGAAGCTTCGCGCTGCGGAGCTCAGTCACCAGTACGTTCGGCAAATGACACCAGAAGTTGGAAACTGAAACTACTAGACCTCGCAACAATGCCAGAAGTCGGGATGCACGCCACCTGGTATTCCGGGTAAGATTCACCGACGATTCTAGGGCATGAGGATTAAGGCAAGGTCTGGGGAAAGGGGGGCACAGAATTTCAAGACAGCAAAATCGTTGACGGAGGGTGTAGGCTATCAGCCATGTAAGAACATGCGCCTGTACTGACAGCTGCCTATTAGGCACCTTGATTCAATGCGGAATGGCAAAGTTTCGAACTTGTAACTTTTTGAGAGAAGACACAGTGAGACAGTGGGTGCTCAAAGCCCTGGATTCGACAAACACTATTCACTACTCTTTCCTGAACACGTGGTCTCCAAGTTTACCGTTCACACATTAGCTGTTGAGTGAGAAGAGACCAAGACGTAAAAAGGCAAAGCCCCTCAACCGCAAGTGAAACCTGAACACTTAGATCCTCGCAGCTCTCATCCTTCGAACCTTTTTTGTGATCTCGTCTTTGCAGCAAGGTGGCGAGCGGGTACTTGGCTCCGTCGTTGCCCTCACCGACCTCACGGTGCAGGCAGCCTTAGCATCGGTTGCTTTTGGATTGACAGGGAGGATATCACCGTCGTAACAAGAGCAATAGAAGCATGACAAGCAACGAAAAGCAAGGATGGAAAACCCAAGCACCGTCATCGTCTCTGTGGTCACAACAGGACCATATCGAAAGGACGAGCCACTCGCAGCTGACGTGCCACTTTCCATCTCCACAATGACTGCTACCACTGCCAAGGCCAAAACAGCTCCAATGAAGGCTCCTTTGTCTCAGGCTGAAAAACGGAGTCTGCCATGTAGTTCTCTGCCTTGCGCATCATAGGTTGGACCCGCCAAATTTTGCAGGATCAGATCCCCGCATATCGGCATACAAAAGCATCATCATTTGTCAATGACAACGAAATCATCGCAAGAAGTGAAGAAACCAAGGCCAGCCCTTCCAAATACAGTAGAAGCCAGAAAGTTGGAACATGGCTTTAGGAGGATTAGTGCTAGGATCCCTTATACTTTACCTTAAGGGCATGAGGAGTCTGATGTTCCAACTGTCTGGCTTCTACTATATTCTAAAGTCTACAACACGCCTTTGAGCCGTACAAACTCGAAAGGCTCCTGAAGCCCTAGATTCTCGGAACCCTAGCCTCCAGGTCTCTGGTTCTCGGGAGGGCATGAAGCATTTGCTTCGCTTGATGGCGACACCCCAGGTAAGAAAGAAACGCCCGGAAGCCCTCTAGATTCCAAAACCTAAGAAAAAATCACTACAGTCTACTGCCTGAGTCTGAAGCCCGCAACCTCAAGCCCTTAAAGCCCGAGATCCTTCGCAGAGATAACATGCGGCCTGAGAAATAGGTGTTCTGCATCAAGGCCTCAAAAACCCCAAGCTTTCATACGAACCCCAACACACTTCCTCCGCTTGATAAAGGCCTCCGAAAAAACAATGCCCTGAGAAGAGCAGAGCCCCCACAAGGGCCTTGGAGAGCCAGGTCCTCAGTCCATCTGCACTGCGAGACCTGGGCCTGAAGAGCAGCATCCACAAGCGCCGGAAAGTGCCCCCAAGTCTGGGGCTTCAGGGCCTCAGGATCGAAGGTTCAATATTAGGAAGGAGGCGTTTGGGGTGGGGGGGGGGGGGGGGGGGGGGGTACTTGGAGTTTTTGTTCGAATTGTGGCGCCGCTTTGGGGTGTCTTTGCCTGCCGAGATGTGACAGGAACCAGGAGCAGAACGTTCTCGGGTTTGGAAGAGCAGGTCCAGGCTACTTCGAGGAAGATGTCAAGCTGCTACGTGGTTTGGGATGACGACAGATGTCTCGAAGATGTAGACGAGCAGCAACTGTTGACTTGTCCATAGTTTCGTGCATTACTTTTTGTCGCGTATGTTCGACGATAGAAAGATCAGATGCGAATAGTTCTGAACGCTCGAGGTGCATGGTTTCAGCATGCAGGTTTCACAGCTGTTGCAGGCGTCGTACTCACTTCAACGTTATTAAATCTTTAATCTTAAACCCGAACCCAATGTAAGCAGTTGCTGTAACCGTAGTACTACAAGGAGTAGTAAACATCATAGCAGTAGCCGCAGCATCGCAACAGCCAAATGCCCAAGTCCAGCAACACCCTAAAGTCCAAAGTCCCAGCAGCTCGAAATTTCAAGCCCGAAGCCTGTGCAGGTACATACCAAGGACTTTGAGCCGTCCGAGCTGAACGAGAAGCTGCGCCAGAAGAGCCCTGAGGAACGGCGCAAGATCAGCTCCCCGAAGAAGACAAGCAGACCTATCTGTAGAATTGTTTAAAGGTTTTCGCAAATGTTAAGCCGAGCACCACAGCCTGTGGCAACTGAAGCACAGCGGATGTCAACAACCCTCCACGTGGCGTGCTTGACCACCTGCCACAGATGCGACGTTTCTACGGGTTCCCGCCATAAATGTTGCAGTAGGGTCGACATGTAAGGCTGCATTGTGCATCCTAGCTATCCCGGCGTGCTTTTACGCCCCGAAGAACCTGAAGCCCCATGAGAATGCCAGTGGTCAGAGATGCTTCATGATTAAGATGATGCAAATTTTGGCTCTCAGACTCGCCTCGGGAGGAGTCGGAGCTCATCAAGTCTGCACTGAAGCAGAATGCGACCTGCCTGGAACTGCCTTACAGACTTTCGGGTTATTTAGGGGTCAGCTGTTGAAAGGCATAGCTCAAGGCAAAGGAACACGATCTCTCTCCCTCAGCAGGGGGTGTTGACAAGATGCTTGGCTTTCGGTGCAGACCATTTCTGTGCAGGCCATTTCTGAACTAGTAGCATGCGAACTGACAACACAAGAGGTGCTGCAGCAATCCTATGGACGGCTTGCAGCCACGGGAAAGCCTACCCAGGAGAAGAATCCGCTTCAGCACAACCCCAGCCATCTCACGGTCAACGGGCCTCTGCCCTAAGATCATCAAAGCCTGCCTTGGGCACCCTGCGGTCAGCTAAGTCCGAAACAACCTGAAAAACGTAACAACCCTGAAACCCGAGAAGCTGGCTTAACAAGCAAAGCCTAAACAGCCCTAAACGTTGAACCGCCCCAAAGCCGTCAAAATCGTTCAGGAAAAGCTTGGACCCCTGGTGAAGCTCATGTCTGTGGCTGACCTGGACCCGATTGGTTGAGGTCTTGTCATACCGTATGTTTCTCACAAGAGGGAAACAGTGGAGCTTAGGGTTTTACGCAGAGCTGAGGCACTTCAAACTCGATTTTGTGTGCTTTAAGGATATGTGGGGCATTTTTACCGCCTTGAAAACAGAAAGTTGGTTTGATGGCGCGCGAAATGGCACGTCCTGCTGTTGAAATGTCAAGCAGTCATGAGCGGCTTGGAATGTTGAGTAAGTGACTTGGTAACTAGCAGGAACATCCCAGCGCTCATTGAACCCCCTGCAGTGGGAGAACGGAACCTATCTCTTCGGGATTTGTCGGGGCTTTATGACCGATTGAAACTTGGAGGCGTGGGTACTGAAGTAGAAAGTGAGTCCAATACCCTCGAGAAGAGGACGTCGTGACAGCAGCGGCTGTACGCGTTGATGTCCAGCCAAATTTCGAGGCCTCGGGAGACTTCAGAGACGATTCGGCGATGCCGAAGTAGCTGAGTAGGCAAGCTGTAGGAGCCCGAAGGGGCTCATGGAGTGCTACTATTCTGCAACGGCTGAACTCTGCGACTAGGATTCGGAGTTACTTGGGATCTAGGATCTTTGTTTTCAAGGTCTATTCTTCGGGGCTATTAGGAACGAGTAAGATAAGTACTCGAATTCGTCGGATCTTTCAGAAGCAGTTCTTGGCCACGGAGCTCGATGTAATGAGTCTGCTCGAAGCTTTCATGTTCGGGTCTGCCTGGACGGTGAGCAGGTTTAATCCTGGTGCTCCAGGTACCAGAGACTGAGCACAAGCCGTAGCTTTCGAGTTCAGGATGGGGTTTAGGCGGTAGGATGGCGGGTTCTTTTAAATGGGTTTTCTGGTTTCAAACGTTTCCTTGGGTTGGCATGTAAACGCAGGGATCGAGTTGCGGGAGATATGCATCGACAGAGCGTCACAACCGCGGACCCAGACATGCAGTTTCTCCGAACCACCCGGCAAACTGACTGCCCGGCACAAAGACCTCCACAGGCTCCTGTCCATTGGCTCTGCCAGAAGCAGTTTGCCCCCTTTCAGAGCTAAAGCCTGAAACCGGCAAGCACCCCAAAACAGCCTGAAGGATTAGGGCTGTTGGGCTCATCAGTAAAGATGCCGCCTGAAGCAGCGGCCAGTAACCCACGAACCGACGCAAGGGCACCATGGGAGGCAAGTGTGTTCGCCTTGCGCATAGGTCATTCAGCAGGGCTCTGTCAAAGCTGACCACTTCTACGTGGTGTCTGCTGGCGAGCTCACTGTCGAGAAGGACGGGCAGAAGGTGCGAGCGATGTCGGGCATTCTCGTTGAGAGTCGTCAGTGTGGGAACTCCGAATGTGGGACCATTCCAACTCTTTCGGACAATCGTGCTCAGCCCAGGTCTCCGAGGCCACAGCAGTTTTTGCTATTTTTGCCTGCGTACTTTAGGGCTTCGGATAAGTAACAATAACAGTGCCGTGTATTCCTGAAAGAGGAGACAGGCAGAGTGGTTTACCCCAAAACACTATTCCGAGTATGGTTCCTGGGCTTCATAACTGCACATCGCACCTCCTGCAAACACGTCTCCTTCTGAGAGTAGAGGATTGCAGCACGTGGCAGCAAGAACACTAATGCACTAGAGAACGACACAACCCAACAGAGTGCATTCTGAATACGCTCGGTTTCATGACTTGAGGATACACCCTGCAAGTGGGGATCATCTTGCTCGTTCTGAGTTCCTCAAACCCCAAGCCGCTAGTTTGTCTTTTCCGCTTCAGTGCTCTGCCTGTGCCTGCACACCAATGTAGCAAGCCAGACCTCATAAAGCCATGCCTGCCTTGTGCGAGTGTGCGGGTTTCGACCACCAATAAGGCCTCCTTCACGGAGCTATACTAGAGTATTCACCACAGCCCTGCTTCAGTTGGTAACGCCCCTGTTTTAACAAGGCTTACGGGTTGTCGGGCCAGGTTCGACACCTTGAACCTGGAGGCTCTTGTGGTGAGCTTGCGCTGCTTTATCGTGCCGGAACCTCTGACATTTGGGGTTTCAGTCCTTCATGGATCTGTAAAACTCTCTTGACAAGGCTCTTCATAAGCTAGGTTAGTACAGGGGCTCGAAGAGTTCCCAAAGGTCAGGTATCATACAAACCCCAAAAACCTTACTCTAATTATTCAGGCACGTATATTGGAGACTTTGCCGCCAGAGAGGCCTAACCTGCTTTTTGGATCCTGGTGGAGAGGACACACAGAACGTCGCAAGAGGTTGGGCTAACAATTTTTAGAAACACCTATGTGGCACCTCGGCTGTGCAGGTGCGAGAGTTGAAGTTGACAGTCAGGCGGGCATTGACAACTACAGAGATCTTGGACTCAGGTTGCAAAGCCGTACAACTAGACTTAAGACGCGAGCCCTCGCTCCAGTCACCTGCTGCGCAATGCCCAGGCGCCCAGGGCTGCCACAGTCAGAGCGCTGACGGCGGCCACACTGCGGCTTGACATGTCATTAAGACCTCAACCCTGAAGCCATGATCCACTTGTGATGTCGCGTTGAGGGTTTTTTGGTATATGGCATTGAAGTTATTGATTCGAGGTCCAGGGCTCAGGTTTAGGAGTTGAGGTTTAGCACTGAGGATGTGGAAACCGCTGATTAACGAAGCCCGCTCTGTCGATAGGGTTTAGATTACACGCCTGTGTATCATCACGGCCTGGACATTACATGTATGGGGAAGTAGAGGAATCCTGTTATTGTGAGCGGAAGGTGATGCCCCAGCAGAATCTTCGAGAGCCCTTCAATGCATGGTGAACTCAACGACTGACAGGTCATTAACCTGATCCTCTCACGCCAGAAGCCAGAAGCATCAACTTTGAAGATTCCCTGGTCTTAGAAGCCCGAGATTCGAAAGCCCCTCTGACAGCCCAGGTTCGCCATTCATCGGCAGGTCCCGGGCTTGGCGGTTCAAGGTGTGACTAGAACTGGCCGTAGCGACGGGTAAGGCCCACTTCTGGCCCATGAGTCGGCAGGGACCAACAAGTTGGGTGCCGGCTGTACTCGGGGTACCAAGAAGGCTTGTCATTAGCTTCGGCATCCACACTTACAGTAGTAGCTAGAGCCACAACATCTGATCCTACCATATCTTTGGATCTTGAAGAAGACAGCACCTAGGTTCCAAGTCTTTCGTTTGGAGCGAAGGTTTTGGGGCTAAGGTTCGGGTTCCTGCAGTAAGACGTGAGCCTTAACCTTGCCGGAGTGAGTGCCCAGACAGCCAGGTACTATTCTTGAGGAAGGGATACAGCTTGAGGCAGATTGACTTGCCGTTTTCGGGCGCTGTCAATCCAACGTTATCTGTTAAAGCTTAGGCAGGCAAGCTTTAAGATCTTACGTACGAAGTTTAGGGGTTCCTTCTTTCGGTGAGCTCTTGCGGCTTGAGCTATGATTCAGGCGGAGGCGTTAAGCGCTGCAGACATCTCACACGAGCCTCCCTCTGGCAACTACTTACATGGAGCTTTCTGAAAGTCTGTAGATATCTCCATTTCCATTCTCCGGGCATATGACTTCCCCAGTCATGTTTCGAAATTAACTCGTACGCCCACTGGCAGCTCGCCTGAACAGCTGTGCCCATGCGTGCCACCAAGCTTTCTGCAGGCGGCATAGTGATCTGTAAGTGCGACAAACAAGAACTCGAAGGCGAAGTCGAATGCGCGCAACATCAGAACCCTAGACGAAGATTTCAAGAGTCATCGCTAACTTAAGCATCGCATGAGAGCAGGGATGTCGCTATCATTAGTTCTTTGCCCTGTCCTCCGTTTTCAAAGCGAAGCCCAGGAACTGCGAGTGGTGATGCAAGCACCACTGAAGAAGAAGCTCGAAGGCGATGGCCTTCAAGCGTTTGTTTGCATGATCCTTGTCAGTAGCGTTCTGACTAACCCAGTAGTGTTCTGAATTACCCTGAAGAGTCTGAAGCCTTCGTCTACTCTATTCCGATCGGCACTAGGAGTAGAAAGAGGGCCGTAGTTCTTAGAACAGGGAACAGGGCTTGGCGGGGACATTTATTCCATTTGCCATAACCGTCACGTGTGGTTTCCGAATGCAAGGCAAGGGATCCCAAATATCCCTAAGTACAAGGAGTAGGCTCCTTCACAGTAAAAGTGCTACCATCCCGAATCCTCCAATACGCCCGGATGGCTATTTCATTTGGTGCCTGATGGGTTTGACTGTTGCGTGCCGCCGGCATTGAAGAGCATATTCATGCATTCGGCATACCTCGTGTAAAATGAAAAAGTGTTGAACCGTGCCTCGGCCTTCCGCGCAGACAAGCAGAACAAGGACTTATTACTGATCATTTTGACCTCCTGCTGTAAGGGTTGTGAAGCTTTTCAACTGTCGTCCAGGCTTGGCCCCTTGAAATGCTCCGACCTTTTTGACTTCGAAGTGCTCAAAATCGTAAGATTCCTGGGTCCTGAATCCATCAAGAACTGCGTCCATGGACTCCGAAGTCATGAACCAAGACAACCCCGAGCCTGAGACCCCAAAATCCTCGAAGTCCTCCAACCCGCGACGCCACCTTTGTCAGGCTTTGCGACGCTGTCGAATCCTCAGCTTCCTTGCAGGAGCCTCTCTAGAGAACCGTTAGTCCATGAAGGGATGGTGGGGAGGGTGAGCCCAAAACAGAAGTGTCAACTCCTACAAACCCAACAACCTCCAACCCATCAACCTCAAGACCTCAATCCGGTACTTGTTGTTTTTGTTTCAGCTTTCGGAATCCAGCTTCTCAGGTTCAGGCAAGGGGATGTTCCTTTATAGGGGAGCTTCTTCACTGGGTGCCCCTAGCTATGGGTCCTTGAAAGCGGTTCCCCGGAATCCATACCGGGAGTCACTGCACTACTTTAGCTTGTTTAAGGTATCGACCAAGTAGGCCCAAGCCTGAACCAGATGGCAAAGTGGCTTAGAGACAATGCATCCCAAACGGGCTCTCCGACGTTGCCCAAAACTGATGGCCCTGTCCTGACAAGTGAATATGTTTATATAGCAGCGAGTTTAGCCGTGGATGTTTCAACCTCGGCCTCAGCATCATTGCCCCAGAGTACCTTAACGGCTGAGTAGGTGACCTTAAAACCTTGTGATGGTTGTTCGTCCTGAAAGAGAACACAAGCATTCAGCCCCTGAAAGCAAGGCTTGGAAGAGTCGATATCCTGAAGCACCTGCAAGCCGACGAGAAGGAGCCTCTGCGCACGGACGCGTGATGTCTCAGGGTTTTTTCTAGGAGGATCAGGTAACTCCGCAAGCCCAGCCTGCAGGGTTCAAGGGTTGGGACACGTCGTAGGAGCTTCCGGCCACAAGCACCGTACTAGCAAGCGCACCATCCTCAGTGCGACCCGAGAGCCCTACGTACTTGCGAGCGAAGCATCTGTGGTGTCAAGGACTGGCGGTCTTAGTCGCAAGTTTGAGGTGTGCTTGTCTTGCATGGCTTCGTTGCACGTGCTTGGGCCGCCAAGTGGTTGGAAGGGCAGAGTTGGAGCCATTCGGAGCACCAGCCAAGAAAAGCGCAAACCAAACCGTGAACTCCTAGCCCACGACTGCTGGAGGAACAGCTGAAACATCCCAACAGTTAATTTCTAACCCGGAGGGACGGAAAGTGATTTGCTCACCCTTCTAGTGCTTTGGCTAGTGAAGGCTCAGGAGCACTTTTAAGTTATTCCTCGGATGAGAACCAAGAAGCCAGGCGATGCTTGCAGATGCGCTCATCGAGCCGGCAGCCCAGAAAGGCTACAGGTTCACATCCTGGGGGTGCGGCGGGATTTGGGAGCTGGGCGTGGCAGATGGGAGATCACAACATAGACCCCAAACAGCTGGGTTCTTGCACCCACAGCCGTTCCCAAAACATGAGAACCCTCGAATACAAGACGAGCTGCGGGCTTACATGCAGCTTTGCAAGGCGGCCCTAGAGTCGGTCCGTACGCACTTTGGGTTGAGATGTTGAGAGTTTAGGGAAAGCCAGGGTCGAGGAGATCCGTGGTGGTAAAGCCAATATTGCTAGAAAGCCACCATCATCAAGTCCCAAAAATCCCGAGACCAGCGGCCCGAACCCCGGCAGGGAGTGCCGACAAACCAAGCGCCAACTCCTTATGAGAACCAGAAGTTCGAAACTCGAGGCGGACGTTCTACAAAGGCGAGACCATCATACAGTGTCGGCCTTGGCAGGGTACGGGATTTAGCGCCATCTGGGACTTAGGACTTCGGAGTTGTGGGGTTTAAATTTTAGGGTATAGGATTCAAGCTTGCAGGCTTTTGTTCGCTTTTGAAGGTCGGAGCATGTCTGTGATCTTGCGACAATCTTGGCCACCCGAACTTAGCGATGGCCAGTTCCTGTTTTTCTCACGGCACCCCCTCCAGGCCATGTAACAGACCCGAGCCCAGACCATATCATGAACCCGAACCCAGACCCTTACACAATAACCTGCAAAAGGCCATACCATGCGAAAACAGAGACCCCAATCGGACAACCACAATAAAAAGGACCCAAACCTAGACCGCTAATACAAATTTCGAAAGGGTCCCAATCAGACAGCCGATTCTTCGAGGCCATGTTATGGACCCAAACCCAGACCCTTACACAAAACCCGCAATTGACCCATCCAGCAGAAACTTAACCACGCGACGGAATCCCGAAGACCCATACACCCTGACACATCGAAATACGCCGAGACACGGACATGATCATCTCTAGTAATATTGCCGTAGCACGAATCGAGTTTCAAGGAGGAGCTGGCCGCTTTCATCGCAGGGGCCATCTTTCAAGATGCGCTCCTTCAATCCCCCGCCTTGTAGAAGAGTGTGCCTGGAAATGTCGTATAATAAGATTTTTTACTATTTAGGGTGCTATAGTAGGTTCCCCTATTTTCGGAAACTCCCACATGGGGCAATGTCTTGCTGCTTTGACATTTCCTAACGACTTCATCTAGACGTGCCATGACACAGCGACTGCCCAAGGCAAGGCGAGAAAGGCGATACCTTCTACATCCTCTACGACGGACAGGCCATTTGGCCCAATCTATGTGGTTCACCTTTAAAGCGAATCCTGGGGTAGGTATTGGTGTGCTCAAGGTCAATTCGACACATCAATAAGCACGCCCTCGTCGTGGAGGGATCTGAACAGCGAAGATGGAAAACAGCGACGGTGCTTTCCCTTCGTGGGCTCTTGTTCTAAGCCCATCGTCCGAAGACTGCAAACTCTTTAAGGTTCAGGGCCTAGAGAGAACGAAAGTTTGAGAAGAGGCCCTGGACAAAGCTGGTCAGACGCCCTGAAACGAAGAGTGGCGGCCGGGCGGGCTCCGTTTCCCCAGGTTTCTGTCCTCGTCGACAACCAGGAGGTTGCAAAGCTTCAGGGCGCAGGACGCTCAAAGAGCCTCGAGGGGCCTTTAGAGTTTTGAGGGACTAGAACCACAATAAGCTCGTAGAATGGCACAAGAAAGCCAGCGATAGCAAGAATACAACCTGGTAGGACGAATGGGAAACGTAAAGCGCTAGCATGAGCGGGTCGTCGAATTCCTTGCTAAGCGGAGCCACTGCAGCAAATATCCACGAGAAGCGACTCGGGCACCCAAGTGCCCGATAGTACAAGAGCTATTCCAAGGATATCATAGTCATAATCTGCGTACGCTTTAGTTCCAATCTATGTTTTAATCGTGCTCCTTCTCGCCGAGGCTTCTAATATCAGGTGTTGCGGTCTCGCGCTTCGGGAGTGGTGGATTTGCAGGGTTCGTACCTTTGGAGATCGCTTTGGGTGGGAGTGGGGTTGGGGGGGGTTGGGGGGGGTGTTTCGACCAAATGAGACAAAGGTCCGACGGTTTAGGATGTGAGTGAGGTCCCTGCCTGTTCAGGCTCTGGGTGTGTCTAATGAGATTATGTAGCTATGCGCAAAAAAGCAGGAGGCCCACCCAAATGCAGTACTGTAGAGCTGAAGCATCACATAAGATCAGCGTGGGTTCCGTGCACAGAATTCATGCACGGAGCGAGAAGTTCGCTAAGCTAAGAAAACCAGGGTTGAGGCCTGATGTGATTTAGCAGCTTGCTTAAGAGACCCCCGGTTCTTGTCAAGGCTCCTCATATGCATGCTCTTCTTTCGGGGTTCGGGATCTAGAGCCATCCAATCAAAGTTCCCGCATGATTATAGGTGTCTAGGGCTCAGAGGTCCTGTAAGCCATGGCAGCATGCCAAGACCGCCGACACCAATGCCAACTTCTTTGGCGAGAGGGCGCTCCTGAATGTCTGGGCCCGAACGAGTGGCTAACGACAAGCTTCCCAAGGCAAGGAAATCAAACGTTAGCGCAACTGCCACCAAATCAAACATTAAGTCGAAAGCCGTTACACCCCGAACCCTGCAAGCCTCTTCAAGCCCAAGCCCACAATACCTTTCAACTTTTGCCCGAGTGCCAGCACATCATGGCTTGCTCCTCGAGCTTCAACGACTGTTCCGCAGAGATCGCTTTACAATTCTTTCCCAAGTGTAGTATATCAACAGCCAGAACCTTGTCCGGTTTATGCGGTTCCTAGTCCAAGATTCTTACACGCGCTCTTCATGGTTATAGCATTCTTCCCGCATGCATAAATATACAAAAATGATTGTACATGTGAAAAAAGCCGACGTCGAACCCTCGAACCATGGTATACTACATCCAACAGCTCCACCCTCCCCAGCTTCAGACTCCATGTGGTTACCTGCCTAACGAAGCCAAACTCCCTCTTCCTGTGTAACCCTGAGCAAATGCGAGCACCATAGATCCGAGAAGCTGGTTGAACTTCAACAGCCTCCTATGAGGCACATGAAACTATGAAACCAACCAAGACACTTTAACAGCCATGCGCATGCGGAGCTTGAGCATTTCGATCCGATATCCGACAAACCCTAGTCTTTAGGACACAGTCAGCATTCTGAGTCAGGCTTCTGGGGTTTGGTATTTGGGATTCTCGGATGTACCTTAAGCTACGACATACTTAGCATATATGTCCGGAGTATTCCGAGCATCCGTTTCAGAAGGGTCCCCCAACAATCCCCTAGCCGAGGACGAACCCCGGGCAGCCACGATTGTGGCCAACAGCGACAAGGCTGGAAGCAAACTGTAACACCACTCGATGGTTCAGGACATAGATGGCCTATGGCAGAGAGCATATATCTAAGGTCATATATATAATGTGTTTGTATCACATAAAATGTAGCGAAGAACATGTAAGGAGGCGAAGAAGCGAATTTCTCCTGGTACCAAAGAAGCCCAAAGGAAGAGTAATAGCGCTCCTCAGGGATCCGTTCTGTAGTTGTACTGTAAGGTTCCCCAAAGCCCTCTTCTAATTATGAAGGACACTATAAATCCTTGTTACCTATTCTTGGGACAGGCAGGACCTCGACACCCTTGACGCTTGAAGCCTTGTTCCCGTGCCGTCCGCAGCTCGCATCTTCGATTCAGGTCATGGTTCTGGCTCTGGATCGCCGGGGGGCCTTGTGCTTCCTGCATGGGGCTTCTGCGGTTTAGGGTTCAGAGGTGATAAGTTGCCTCAAGATTGGGCAGACGTGCGTTCTGCTATGCTTTCCCTAATTCCGCAGAGAGGGATGCGAGCTTTGAGCCTATGGTTGGGGGCGGGGGGGAATGGGATTATTGGATTTCAGATCTCAAGACGAACATGTACCGCAAATCCCAAGCACTTTGCACCAGCTTCCCGGCGGGCCCGGACCCGAGTAATTCAAGTAAGCCGGCATCCTTGAAGCAGAGCCGGCAAACACGAGAGCTTGGGAAAGCTGAAAGTGCGGGCTTGAAAATGGATTAAGGCCCTGGTATACCACACACGAGCTCTGATGCTGGTGCACAGCGGACGCAGTGCAGCCAGCGATGTCCATGTCAAGTCGGAAATTGAAGGACTAAAGAGGCCTAGCGAACGCAGCATGTGAGGTCACCCTGCGCCCCTGTACAAAAAGGCCGAGGGCCGCCCTTGCCCGAAGAAAGGCCTGCTCCTCAACTCCAATGACCAAACCATCCAAAGGGAAAGGAATCCCAAAACCACTCAAATCAATACCCCCAGTAAACAAACATTGGAGTTGCAAGTGTTGCAGGGCCCGCCGAACTGCTCGGCGTATAAAAGAAAGCCTGCCTGCCACCGTTGGTGGGACAGGAGAAAATGTCAGCGTGGTCGATGAAATCCAGCCGCCATGCGGCCCCGAAACAGGATAATCAACATCCCCTGAGCATAAAACAAGAACACAAGTTCGAGCCACGAAATGGCAAAGGCATGGTCTGCCTGTGCATCCTGTACAAAAAGCCTATGGCAAACCGAAACTACAAAGTCACTCGGCAAGTCTCCCGAATTCAGAGCTACAGTCGCCTTCCAACCGATCGGGATTGATTCCTCAAGATCGCAGCGGCGCGAGACTGGAAGCAGAGAAACAGTGGTGGTCGGCTCCTCCTGCATGTCCTCAGCCACCGCACCTGGTGGTTGGCGACGGTCCGTAGCAGCGGCAATGCCAAGGTAGATGGCCGTTAACGCTCTCTGCACTGCCAGGGTTTCCTGGTGGAACGTCAATGCAGCATTGTAGGCGGCCTGAAACTCCACGGATCTGTTGTTATTGGCCAATGCCGCCAAAGTGTCTGCATGATTGTTGTGCGTCGCGACCCAATCCTCAAAAGCATTCTCGGTCAAGTTCTGGTCCAGATGCGAGGGGACGTGCCTGACCACAAACATATCAGCATCCAGCTGTTGTAGATACCCCTGCAAGACCTGCCAAAGGTCCTCGTCAGCAGAATGGTCCATCGAGGAGCCGGCCTGAATTTCAGCAACACCATCGACAACCGATTGGCAGTCCGACCAAACCATGCAAGGCCCATGGTGTTGTGCAGCCCAGCGTGCAGCAGCAATCATTCCCCAGAGCTCCGCTCTGGGAGCGGTTTGAAGCAGTCCCGGAACTTGCCCACAGGCCAAAGGCTGGGCCGAGTTCGCATGTACAACGCCCCATGCAGCCAGTGCCAGCTCAGGGCAACCAGGATCAGTGCAAGAGCCGTCCGTAAAAAGGTGCTGCCAGCCAGCCTCAACCTGAACCCTGAAGAAAACCCCCGAAACATCCCTTACATCGTGCAGCAAGGTACGCAGCAACTGCAGGTGAGTGTTGATGGGAGGGAGCAGGTGATGTGTGAAGCTGACAGGTAAGGCTGCCCATCGGGCACACACCCATTGGTGGGGCAATCGGATGCCGGAAAACCGTGGGCAGTCACAGACTTGATGACGGGCGTCATCAGGAACCTGGCAGACTGTGCAAAGACCAGTCTGAGTCAAATCAAACTTAGCCTGTTGCTGTCCGAAGATAAAGGCGCCAGCGCGCAAGGATGCCAGGCGGGCAGCTTCCAACGGAGTGTGTTTTTGAGCATCGGCATGCAACAAAGAAGGTTCCACGCCCATCAAGTCGCACATCGTAGCTCGATGTCTGTGCTCATGGGCTACAAAGCGGAGCCACGCGTGTTCGAGGCGGCTCCGCAAAAGTGCACGAGGGGCGTCGAGTACACTGTGGACGAGACCCTCATGATCGGTTACCAGAGGAGGGCGCTGTACCGTCCATCCGACCTGGGACAGAACATGAATCAGCTTTGTGAAAGGTCCCGGCAGCTGGCGTCCGTCAAAGAAAGTCATGAAGCGACGCCATTGGCCCACAAAACCTGTGATTCGCCGAGTCATACGCCTGATGTCACAAACACACGCCCATAATTGGTAGAAGCCCGGGTCGGCAGTCATGGGCTGGGCGATGGACAAACGCAGCATGGAACTGACTCCACCAGGCCGAATGCGAAGAGCTCCGGTGGCCTGGGCCCGAAGGCCATTCAAGCGGTCCGCTGCCAAGGGACAACCCGAAATACCATGGAGCGCATGGGACCAGCATTTAGCAGGAAGTGCCCTGATCTTCAGTTGTAGCGGAGCACGAGAACGTTTCAGGGCGCTCCAAACAGATTTCAGGGAGTCGCAACGGTCCACGAGGGCCGCATTCCGGGTCTTAGGCCCAAAAGTCAAAAAGCCCCCAAGCTCACGAGCATGTTCCAAAACAGCCGGCCCCAGGGCCTTGAGAGAGCGGCGGTCCGCTGGTTGGGTAGCCCAGGCGTATGTCTTGGGCCGATCGAGCTCAAGTTCCAAAAGATCCATGAAGCACTGAGTGGCATGGTAGCCCGAGGCCAAGCCCGCAGGCGTGACTGCCAAACTGACAAGATTGTCAACGTAGCTCATAGTACGAACCTGTGGAACAAAAGCCCGCATGTAATGGTGGAACGCGAAGTCCGCCAGCAGCATGGCAAAAGGCAACGGACACCCCTCCGGGAATCCCGAGGAGGACCGAATCGGGTCACTGACCTGGCCTCTGATAAGGATCCGGCGCTCAGTCTGCTGAAGAAAGGCCGTCCAAGGA